AACATCTTCTAGGGATTATGAAAAGCTCTTGTGCCCTCTGCTGGTTCCTTGAGGTACAGCTGGTACTTGCTCCTTTGAATTTCCAAATAATTTTCATCAACCATCAGCTGAGTACATCGATATTTATTTCCGTTTAAAAAAAAAAGTGACCCGACAGAGTGAGGGAATTTTCATATCATATCACTCATATCACAGGCAAGCAAAATCCTGCTTAAGATTCAGAAAAGACTGGGGACAGTACATTGATGGGGAACTATAAGAAATACAAGCTGGGTTTAGAAGAGGCCGTGGCACTAGAGACGCTATCGGCTTTGTCAGAAGGTCTTGGCAGGTTCTGAGAAAACACCAAATGGCGGATGACGCCGGTGCAGCGGGAGGGCCTGGAGGCCCTGGGATGGGAGCCCGCGGCGGTTTCCGCGGAGGCTTCGGTAGCGGTCTGCGGGGTCGGGGCCGGGGCCGTGGGAGGGGCCGCGGAGCTCGAGGAGGCAAAGCCGAGGACAAGGAGTGGCTCCCCGTCACCAAACTGGGCCGTCTGGTGAAAGATATGAAGATTAAATCATTGGAGGAGATTTATCTCTTCTCCCTGTCCATCAAGGAATCTGAGATCATCGACTTCTTCCTGGGCATGTCCCTCAAGGATGAGGTGTTGAAAATCATGCCAGTGCAGAAGCAGACACGTGCTGGCCAGCGGACCAGATTCAAGGCCTTTGTTGCCATCGGAGACTATAACGGCCATGTTGGCTTGGGCGTCAAGTGCTCCAAGGAGGTGGCTACTGCTATCCGTGGGGCCATCATTCTAGCCAAGCTCTCCATTGTCCCTGTGCGGCGTGGCTACTGGGGGAACAAGATTGGCAAGCCTCACACCGTTCCCTGCAAGGTGACTGGGCGCTGTGGCTCTGTGTTGGTGCGTCTGATCCCTGCACCCTGAGGCACTGGAATCGTCTCGGCCCCTGTGCCTAAGAAGCTGTTGATGATGGCTGGAATTGATGACTGTTACACCTCAGCCAGGGGCTGCACAGCTACCCTGGGCAACTTTGCTAAGGCCACCTTTGATGCCATCTCAAAGACCTACAGCTATCTGACCCCAGATCTCTGGAAAGAGACGGTGTTCACGAAGTCTCCCTACCAGGAATTCACAGATCATCTTGTAAAGACTCACACCAGAGTCTCCATGCAGAGGATTCAGGCTCCAGCTGTGGCCACCACCTAGTGGATTTTCTATAACAAATAAAGTGAATTATGTTCTAAAAAAAAAAAAAAGAAGGTCTTGGCATAAAGTAAAAAACATCAGAACAATATCTATCTGTGTTTCGTTGACAACACAAAGGCATTTGACTGTGTGGATCACAACAAACTGTGATTAACCTTGAGGAGAATGGGAATCACAGAACATTTGACTGTGCTTATGTGAAACCTATGCTTGGACCAGGAAGCAGTCCTCAGAACAGAGCAGGGAAACACTGCATGGTTCAAAATCAGGAAGGAAGTGCATCAGGGATGGGTCCTTTCTCCATACCTTTTCAATCTATATGCAGAACAGCTCAAGAAGGTCAAAGACTATAGTCTTCAATATGGATTGAAGCTCAAAATCAAGAAAACAAAGATCCTCACCAGTGACCTGATTGGCAGTATCATGATAGATGATGAAGAGACTGAGATTGTTAAAAGCTTCAGTTTGCTTGGATCCACAATCAATAGTTTTTATACCAGCAGCCAGGAAATAAAAAGATGAACAAATTATACTGCGCAAATCTGTTGTCAGGGACTTCTCCAGAGTACTGAAGAGCAATGATATCAGTCTGGAGACTAAGGTGCGCTTGATCCAGGCCATGGTCTTTGTAATTACTTCCTACGCATCAGAAAGCTGGACAATGACTAGAGATGATAGAAGGAGAATTGATGTCTTTGAGCTGTGGTGCTGGAGAAGAATATGGAATGCAGCATCGGCTGCTAGGAGAACAGGTTTGTCCTAGAGAGGATGAAACTAAGCTGCTCCTTATATGCAAGGATTCTGAAGCTTCATCTGACATACTTTAGGCATGTTTCCAGGAAGGACCAGTCCTAAGAGAGGGTCTTCATGCTTGGAAGGGTGGAGGGACAGCGCAAGGGAGGAAGACTTTCAATAAGATGAATTGACTCAGTGATTGGAGTAATGAGGGTAGATGTGTCAGAGACAATAAGGTTGGCTCAGGTTAGAGTAGGGTTCAGAGCTGTTGTACATAGGGTCCCTATGAGTTGCAAGTGAGTTGATGGCACATATTAACAATTTCAACTGAAACTCTGAAGGAACAAGACCAAAGACTACTACCTTTCCTACAAGTTACATCTCAATATCAAAAGAACAGAAGTGGTCCCCACCCCTGGACAAATAGGCATCATTACGAAGATAGCGGTGAAGCTGGAAGTTGTCAGTGACTTCACTGTACTTGGATCCACAATCAACACCTATGGTAGAGCAGACAAAAACAAAAATACATGCTTCGATGGGAAAACCAGCTGTCAAAGACTTCCCCAATGCACTAACAAGCAAAGATGTAAATTTAAAGACTAAGGTGTGTGTAATCCAAGCTATGGTATTTTCCTTCGCATTGCTTCCTATGCTTCTGAATGTTGAACACAGAAGTGATGCCTTTGAATTGTGCTGTTGGTGAAGATGACTGAATACTCTATATACTGTCAAAAGAACAAACAATTGATTTGAAGGAAATGCAACCAGAAACCTACTTAGAGGGAAGGATGGTGAAACTTTGGGCATATTTTCCAGAGGAAATAGTTTTTGACAGACATTATGCTGGGTAACGTAGAGGTGTGTGCAAAAGAGAGGAAGAGCTTTAACTAGAAGAATTGACAGTGACTACCATAATGGGCTCGAGCATAACAGATGTGTTCACGGGATCACTGAGTCAGAGTAGGCTCAAAGATAAGCAACAACTAGAAAACTCTTATTGGACCGTATCTCTCTCAACCAAAACGTTTTGGGGGTGATGGGGATGTTATGTCTTGATTGGGGCGCTGGTAAAACCTATACAGACAATAATAAGTTGTCACCAAATGCGTACTCTATAGTTTTGAAAAGGAGAAAGTATCTACCCTGTGTGCCTCCAAGAAGATGAAGCCACGCCTCCAGGTGCAGGAGTCCATCTGTCAGCAGTTCCAGGGGGTCAGACTGGGGCCAGCAGCCTACCCCTTTTCAGCCTGTTCTTCCTTTAGAGACGAAGTACACATTCGCATAGACTTTTTTCTTTTCTTTTTCTAGAACGTGATTTTTTTTATTATAAATATATCTCAATTATTTTGGACCTAACATGTCTGCAGGTTTTACCCACTCATCAAATTGTTCGGCTGTGAGATAGCCAAGTTCAATGGCCGTTTCCTTTAAGGTTGATCCATTTTTGTGTGCTGTCTTAGCAATCTTTGCAGCCTTGTCATACCCTACATGAGGATTGAGTGCTGTCACCAGCATCAGAGACTCGCTCATGAGCTTGCTGATTCTTTCTGTGTTGGCCTGGATGCCCACCACACAGTTTTCTGTAAAGGAAACAGAAGCATCCTGCTGCGAGCTCATAGATCCTCGGCATGGCAGTTTTGATTCTCATCATTGCATATTTCACTTGTTGAACATAACCACTAAATTCCTGTCCAAGAGTAAGTGGTACAGCGTCCTGCGTGTGAGTTCGCCCAATTTTGATGACCTGGGCAAACTCCTTGGATTTTGCATTGAGGGCATCATGGAGCTTCTGCAGTCCTGTTATCAGTACTTCATGAACCTCCACTGCAGCGGCAATGTGCATCGCAGTAGGAAAAGTATCGTTTGAGCTCTGGCTTTTATTAATGTGATCATTAGGATGCACAGGTTTCTTGCTGCCAAGTTCACCTCCTAACATTTCAATTGCTCTATTGCTAATTACTTCATTCACATTCATATTCATCTGGGTTCCTGACCCAGTTTGCCATACCACCAGAGGAAAATGATCATTTAATTTACCTTCAGCTACCTCATCTGCGGCCTTCATTATTGCATTAGCAAGCTTTGGATCAAGCCCATAACCTTGGTTCACTTCAGCGGCTGCTCGCTTTAAGATGCCAAAAGCTTTAATAACTGGAATAGGCATCCGTTCTGTTGCACCTCCAATCTTGAAGTTCATGGTAGATCTCACTGTCTGAGCACCGTAATACTCATCATTTGGGACCTTTAGTTCTCCAAAGGTGTCATATTCTATTCGAAAGGAATTTTGTCTCGCCATGCGAACAGCGTCCCAGAGCCGGAAAGGGAGGACGACCGCGCCGCCACGAGCCGGGGCTGAAGCCGAGGCCGGAGACCCCACGAGGCGAGACTGGCGCGCGAGGGAGCACAGTGTCGGATACATGGTGCCGCGAGGCTCACGAAGGCTCGCATAGTCTTTTAAACACTTATTTGGAGACTATAGAGCGAGAATTCGAACTCAGACAACGTAACAAAGAGTCTCTGCAATTATCTGTTAATGATTCTGGCTCCATAGTCTTAAGGGTTATAGAAGGCTCACCAATAGAATGATACTTTGACATCACGTGCTAGTAGATGGCCTATCAGAAGGCAGGAGGCAGTGGAGGGGCGGGACCTCACCCGGAAGCGGTCGCGTTTCCATAAAGCTTGTACCTCTTCTCTTGCCGTAGTATGGCGCACCGGAAGTTCTTTGACGTATAATCTTGACTTCCGGAACAAAGTTGGAGCTTCTGGTACCATGTGGATGCTGCGGTGGAACGTTGTTGGCGTTTAAGTTGTTCAGGAAACCCGACCTCCAGGTACGAAGGGAGTGAAATGGTGGTCCGGGGTGGGATACTTTACCGGTGTCTGAACAAGACTAATTTGAGTTGTGATTGCTATTAAACCTGTATTTGCATCTGAATGTACGTACGTTTCCCGCCTTCAAATTAGTCTTAACAGGCTTTTCGATCTCACAGAGTCGTTGAGTGTGTCCACTTGGACTTTCGGAAACCTACTCCTTGCCCTGCTGGGAAAGATGACGTCTCTAGCCCAACAGCTACAGCGACTCGCCCTCCCTCAGAGCGATCCCAGCCTCCTGTCCAGAGATGAAGTTGCCTCTCTGTTGTTTGACCCCAAGGAAGCGGCTACCATCGACAGGGACACCGCCTTTGCCATTGGTGAGCCATCCTTTGACTTGGATAAGCTCATTACCGTTTTCTGGATATATTGACATACCTATCATTCCAGTTTCTTCGTTAGTCCTCCCTTTTCCCTAGATACTTGATCACTTTCGTTGTTAAGAGACAATTGATGGAACAAGTTATCATATGCAGGTAGTTCTGCTAGGTGCTTAAACTGTATGTTGTTGCTAGGTGTTGAATCCTATTGGCTTAGCGATCCTGGATAACAACACCTGCACCCTGGCCTGTGCTGTGCCATCCTCACCATCTCTGACATACTTGAGCCCGTTGCTGCAGTTACTGTGTCATCTATCTTGTTGGGGGAGATCTTCCTCTCTTTCACTGATGCTCCACCTTTCCAAGCATGATGTCCCTCTTCAAGAAATAGTTTCTCCTAATAACATGCCCAACGTGTAAGATAAGCTTTGCTATCTTTGCCTGTAAAGAGCATTCTGATTGCACTCCCTCCAAGACATAGCTGTTTGATCTTCTAGTCTCTGGATTGTCAACATGTAGGTGTCTAAATTTCACAGGTGAGAAAATCAGATTAGAGAGGTTAGCTGTTCTGTAGAGAGGAAAACAATCTGAAAAGGAGTGGCAGTAGTTAAGCTGCAGAAGTGCCTGCCCATAGGCCTGGCGTATATATGGTTATATTGTTGTTAGGTGCCATTAAGTTGATTTGAACTTATGGAGATACTGTGTAGAATAGAGTAAAAACACTGACTTGCACATCCTCACAGTTACAGCAAGGCCTGAGCCCACTCTTAGAACCACAGTGTCAGCCTGTAAATATTAGCAGTAGTTGCATTGTTGTTGGGTATCATCAGGTCGACCACAACTCTTAGCGATCCTATGAACAAAGGGATCTGAACCCTACTCCGTCCTGTGCCATCCTCATTGTCTCTAATATACTTAAACATGTTGCTACAGTCACCTGTCACTGCCTTGATCCATCTCATGGAGGATCTTCCCGTCTTTCCTGGACTCTCCCATTTTTGAAACATGATGTCCTTTTCCAAGGATTGGCTGTAACAACATGCCCAAATTATGGGAGATGAAGTTTTACTATCCTTGCTTCTAAGTAGTACCCTGGTTTGCACTTACCCCAAGGCATATTTGTTTATTCTTTTGTCAGTCTGTGGGATCTTCAGTACTCTTCTTCAACACCGTAACTCAAAAGCATCAATTCTTATGTTAGTCATTGTCTAACTTTCAGATACATAGCAAGTAATTGAAAAGACTATGGCTTAGACCAAGTGCACGTTACTCTGTAAACTGACGTCTTTGCTCTTTAGCCCTATGGAGATGTCTTTGCCAGCATATTTTCCCAGTGTAATACGTCTTTTGATTTCTTGGTTGCTGATACCAAGGATATGGATTATGCAAATAAGGTGAAATTGTTGACAGTTTTGTTTCTCCATTTATCATGATGTTGCCTGTTCGCTCCATCCGCAGATGCTGAGGATTTTTGTTTTCTTTTCTTGATGTTTATATTATTATAGATAATATCAAGAAAGAAAAGGAATGGCTTTTTCTATCAAGTATTTCTGTCCCTGTAGTTGGTGAAATAAGATTTCCTTTACCTGTTACAAATAAGAAGTCTGTATTTGGAATAGATAATATATTCTGCAAGTACTGAGGGACTTTAATACCAATTCCTGGCCAGTGGACCTCATGTGCAGCCACTGCCCATCTTCCAGTGGGGTCTTGTGTGTTGCATTCTAGGAATAAAGACCTGGTGAGTAGTCTGTGATACTCAGCCAGCGAAAACCCTCTGGTTCACAGCAGTCTGACCCACACTCCAGTGGATGCCACAGCACTGGGCAGCATTTCCTTTTCTTGGGCTTGTGGCTACTGTGAGTTGGGGCAGCAGGGAAAACTGTAATGAAATGGAATGGTTTTACTAACAAGGGGTTATTTTACTCACCTTTTCCTAGGATGCACTGGCCTAGAGGAGCTTCTTGGCATCGATCCTTCCTTTGAGCAGTTTGAAGCCTCACTGTTTAGCCAGCTAGCAAAAACCTTGGAGCGCAGCGTTCAGACCAAAGCAGTGAACAAGCAGCTGGATGAAAACATTTCTTTGTTCCTTATTCATCTGTCCCCATACTTCCTGCTCAAGCCAGCGCAGAAGTGTCTGGAGTGGTTAATTCGCAGGTATGCACAGAATTAGAATAATCCTTGTGGACCAGAAACAGTACTTTAGGAAGAGAATATTCACATCCTCTGAGGTACCGCAGCTTTAGAAAAATAGTAGTTAACATGTGTTGAATGTTTGTACTCAAGTCTTTACAATAATGTGTGCATTATCTCATGTAATCTTCAGAATGCCAATGGAAAGAGATTTGTATTGTTGTTGTTCTTATGTGCTGTCAAGTCACCTGCAACTCATAGTGACCCTATGTACAATAGCCCTAAACCTTGCTCTACCCTGTGCCAATCTCATGGTCTCTGACACACCTACCCCCATTACCCTAGTCTCTGAATCAGTCCATCTCATGGAGGGTCTTCCTCTCTTGCACTGTCCCTCCACCCTCCCAAGCATGATGTCCCTCTCCAAGGTCTAGTTCTTGCAACATGTCCAGAGTATGTCAGAAGAAGCCTCCAAGGAGCAGCCTGGTTTCATATTCTCTAGGATGAACTTGTTTGTTCTCTTAGCAGTCCATGGTATATTCAGTACTCTTTCCAGCATCATAGCTCAAAGGCATCAATTCTCCTTCTTTCATCCCTAGTCATTGTCCAGCTCTTTGATGCATAGTAAGTGATTGCAAAGACCATGGCCTGTATTGGGTGCACCTTAGTCTCCAGACTGACATCATTGCTCTTCTGTAGTTTGGAGAGGTCTCTGACCACAGATTTTCCCAACGCAATATGTCTTTTAATTTCCTGGCTGCTGGTGCCAGGAGTGTTGATTGTGGAGCCATGCAGACTAAAGCTATTTATAATCTCAATCTCGTCACCATCCATCCTGATGTTGCCAATTGGACCAGTGGTGAGAATCTTTCTTTTCTTGATATTGAACTTCAATTCAGATTGAAGGTTGCAGTCTTTGACGTTCTGCAGCAAGCGCTTCAGGTCCTCCTCAGTTTCAGCGACCAAGGTTGTATCATCTGCATAACACAGATTGTTGCTGAGTCTTCCTCCAATCCTGATGCCACATTTCTCCTCATAGAGCCCAGCCTCCCTGATAATCTGTTCTGCTTATAGATTGAAAAAGTATGGAGATAGGACACATCCCGGGCGTACACCCTTTCCAATTTTGAACCATGCAGTGTTCCCTTGCTCTGTTCTGACGACTGCCTCCTGGTCCAAGTATAGGTTTTGCAATAGCACAATCAAGTGTTCCGGGATTCCCATTCTTCTGAGTCAGCCACAGTTTTTTGTGGTCCACACAGTCAAATGGCTTTGTGTAGTCAATGAAACACAGATAGACATTCCTCTGGTACTCCCTGCTTTCAGCCAAGATCCATCTAACTTTAGCTACAATATCCTTAGTACCACGACCTCTTCTAAACCAAATCTGCACTTCTGGCAGTTCTCTGTTCATGTGCTGTTCCAGTTGTTTTTGGATAATCTTCAGTAGAATCTTGCTTGTATGTGATGTCAGTGATATTGTTCAATAATTTCTGCGTTCTGTCAGGTCACCCTGTCAGGTCCATGTGGAATAGGAACAAATATAGATCTCTTCCAGTCAGTTGGCTAGGTGGTTGTCCTCCAGATTTCTTGACACAACTTGGCGAGTACATCTAGGGCAGCATCTGTTTATTGTTGGTGTTTCTTCAATTCCTGGTGCCATGTTTATTGCCAGTTCTTTCAGAGCAGCTTGAACTTCTTCCTTCATCACCATAGGCTCTTGCTTACATGTTGTTTCATGAAAGGTTTGCATTATCTTCATTTAAAATTGAGAAAGCTGGGGCTTGGAGGAGTGCAGTTGCCTGAGTCCCACAGCTAATATGCGACAGAGACTGGACAGATTGGAAGTTTATTAGCAAGGACTGAGCTGTCACACATTTTGGAAATCGTTTTGGTAAATTTATTTGTTATATTTTATTACTTCCTGGCATCTGCTTTCACATTACAGTTTATTTTCCTAGTATATGTGTTATGTGTATGTTTGAACTGTATTTTGTTAAAATATGCATAACACAAAGTCATTTGAACCATTTTCAAGAGTAATTTTAGTTGAGCAGATTGTGCACTGTCACTGCTACCTTTTCCAAAAGTTTTGGGTCATCGTAGATAGAAACTCAATACCACTTAACACTCTAGCTCCCCAGACCTCTCTTCTTCCAGCCCGGGAGAGCCACTAAGCAGCTGTTGTCTCTGCATTTGCCAGCTCTGCATTGATTGTATAAGTGGAATCAGGAAGTATTTGTCCTTTCGTGTCTGACTTATTTCACTTAGCGTAATGTTTTCATGATTCAATTCTGAATCATGACTCTATAGTACTTACATTCCACTCTCTGATTCAGTGTGTCAGATGCTTCTGCAGTACTTCAAAAACACTATTTGAAATGCACCGTGTCAAACATGGGAGAGAAGGTGAGGCACCAGTTGTTTATTAACTGTCGTGGAAGAGATAGGACATAAACTAACAAAAACCTAACATGAATCCTCCAACTACATTTTACCTTTAATTCTTTGGCATTCGTTTTTATGTTAGTATGTTTGTTGTTTTGAGGCACTGGGAGCACAGTTAGAGGTTATGAAGCAGGGGGTTCAATGGTAGGGGTTTGCGTCCCAGCTAGTGCCCCCGTACGTGGCCACATCCTCCAGTGAGTGGAGCCTCCCTGATGAGATGCTGAGCAGGTTTTGATGGAGCTACCGCACTAGGAAGAAAAGTCAGGCGTCTGATTTCAGAATTCACCCATTGTGGAGCCTGTGGGTCACAGTGGTCCCATCATGCTTTTGTGCATGGGGTCAGAACCTGTGGGTCACAGTCGTGACATCATGCTCTTGTGGATGGGGCTGCTGTCAGTCAGGGGCCAAATAGATTTCAACTTAGGACAGCAGCAAAGGACTGAGTGTGGTACTTCACCAGAGGGACAGTAAATGGATAGGAGAGTACGGATACAGGGAGGGGTCACTGACTGGGAAGATTAAGAAAAACATCTTGAAAAAGGAAACTCAAACTAGGTCTTGAAGATTGGAAAGATACGGATAGACTATGTGTGTTGAAATGACCAAATTTAACTTTGATGTTAGGGTATTTGTTATGTGAGAGCGCCTACTCATGGCTGACCCTCCAGCGAATTTTCAGAGGCTTTAAATTGCATAGGAGATTTTCCTTCTTTCTCCCACAGAGAACTGGTGGATTCAAATCACATGCCTTAAGATTGGTAATGTGATTACTTAACCACCAGAACTTGCTGTGTTAGGATAGAGAGGAAGGTTTGTGAAGTTCTTGAATGGACTATATATGGTAATCATTATGTGGTACATAACTATGATAGAAAAAAAGTAGTGTGATTTCTTTTAATTAATCTTTTGGTGTGGGAGATACAGTAGTAGTTAGGCAAGCTGAAGAGGTTGGACTGTGGAGCAAGCTGGTAACTGCTGCCTGGGCAAGCAGACGGCTGTTGGTTTGACTGCACTCACCCTACAGCTCCATTGACATGATGTGGAAAGGGTGCCAGACAGACAGTAACTGGAGAGTAAGTTTTGACACTGAATATGAAAACATATCTGCGTAATAATTGCCAGAGCTGGTGAGATATGTTTGGTGCAAAACATAAGATTTATAGCTTACATTCTTTGTGTCATATTGTTGTTACTGTTATGTCATTACTGTTATGAGTTGCCTGCTACTCATAGCAACCCTCTGTACAACAGCCCTAAACCCTGCTCTCTCCTGCCAGTCTTACTGTCTCTGACACACCTACCCCTGTTACCTCAGTCACTGAATCAGTCCACCTCATAGAGGGCCTTCTCTCCTGAGCTGTCCCTCCACCCTCCCGAGCATGACAGCCCTCTCCAAGGACTGGTCCCTCCTTGCAACATTGTAGTTACATAATTTTTTTTTTTGCTTAGATTCATTCCAAGTTGTTTTAAATAGATGATTGGGATTTGTAAGGAAATATATACTGACAGGTATTGACACATTGACACTCTAAAATGTTTGCTTTCACCCAGGTTCCATATCCATCTTTATAACCAAGATAGCCTCATTGCTTGTGTTCTGCCATACCACGAGACAAGAATATTTGTGCGTGTTATACAGCTCCTGAAAATCAATAATTCTAAGCACAAATGGTTCTGGTTATTGCCAGTTAAGGTAAGATTTTAGAATGATGCTTTTTCTGTAGACTGTATACCTCAATTCAAAAGAAATTAAGTTATTAGTATTCCTACAAGTGTTACTGACGTTGTATTTATTTCATAACTTCAGTTTTAAACTATTATTAAAAATAGCTTTTATTTAGTATCTGTCTCTGTCTCATGCTGTTGTTGTTGTTGTTATGTGCCGTCGAGTCGCTTGTGACTCATAGCGACCCTATGTACAACAGCCTTAAACTCCGCTCTGTCCTGTGCCAATCGCACTGTCTCTAACACTCCCATCCCAATTATCCCAGTCACTGAATCAATCCACCTCATAGAGGGCCTTCCTCTCTTGCGCTGTCCCTCCACCCTCCCAAGCATGATGTCCCTCTCCAAGGACCGGTCTCTCCTCACAACATGTCCAAAGTATGTTAGATGGAGCCTCAGAGTCCTTGCTTCCAAGGAGCCACCCGGTTTAACCCTCTCCAGGACAAATCTGTTTTCCTAGCAGTCCATGGTATTCTCAATACTCTTCTCCAGCACCACAGCTCAAAGGCATCAATTCTCCTTCTATCCTCCTTGGTCATTGTCCAACTCTCTGATGCATAACAAGTGATTGCGAAGACCATAGCCTGTATCAGACGCACCTTAGTCTCCAGAGAGACACCATTGCTCTTCAGTAATTTGGAGAGGTCCCTAACAGCAGACTTTCCCATGGCAATGCGCCTTTTAATTTCCTGTCTGCTGGTGCCAAGACTGTTGACTATGGATCCAAGCAAACTAAAGCTGTGTACAATCTCAATCTCTTCACCATCCATGCTGATGCTGCCAATTGGTCCAGTGGTGAGAATCTTTGTCTTCTTGACATTGAGCCTCAATCCATATTGTAGGCTGCAGTCCTTGACGCTCTGCAGTAGGCGCTTCAGGTCCTCTTCAGTTTCAGCAAGCAGGGTTGTGTCATCCGCATAACGCAGTTGTTGATAAATTGTCCACCATACTAGGCAGTTTATATTTTGGCATCTCATTAACCTCCATTTTTAGAGATGAAGACAGACTCAAACAATTATGTTACTTGCCAGAGTTCATATTAAATGGCAGAATTGGTATTTGAATCTGGATCATATTTAGAAGCCTTTTGGTATTTTTAATTTTGGAGCTGAAGAGTTGTTTTGGTTATAAAATAAAAGTAGAACAGAAGAAGAGCAGAGACCACTTGTAAAAAGGGAAAACAATGTTTTCAAGTGCCCAAGTCTTTGAAGTAAACATTGGAGAATTTGAGGAAATTAGTAAAGTTGGAAAGATGTTGGGAATTTATTCAAAGATGAGTAAAGTGATGGTTGCATACTGAGGTAAGCTCAGATAGCAAGATTTTGGGGTAAAGCCAATTGATTTGCCAGGATCACTTTGTCCTGTAACATATCGTAGGGGGCAATAGCAGAAATGTTAGCATGAATTTTCTGAATAGGAGAGCAAATAGGAATAAAAGTGGACAAATGGACTGTAGAGAGAGTTAAGCTTGCTGGTGATTATAATGAGGTCAGTGGTAAGGAGTAAAGAACACAATTCTTCAACCTCGAAACTTAAAATACCAACAGAAAGCAAGGGGGGAATTTTACTTAGAAGAAAATGAAAGAATTTTTATCTAGAGCACTTACTCTTTCTGCCATCCACAGCAATCTGGGATGCCCTTGGCTAAAGGAACGCTGATTACCCACTGCTACAAAGACCTTGGATTCATGGATTTCATTTGTAGCCTGGTGACAAAGTCTGTGAAGGTGAGTGGGATGTGTATACCTAACCCCTGGCTTAGGACACGGTTCCATTCTGTCAATTTTCTTGTAAGTAGGGTCTGATGTGAGTTTGGATACTTCTTTTTTTAAGTGTTCATTATTACTGGATTTTTTTAGTAAAGTATTTTATAAGTCTGATCTTTACTTGCTGGCATCAGAGTTGTAATACAAAGTGGAGGTTGTAATACAAAGTGGGTGTTGAACACAGGCCAGTTTTCTGTCCATTGTCACCAGTTCTGTAGACCAGGCCTTCCGTGCCAGCTATATGACAGTGTTCCACACCTTAAGCCATAACCTTCACCATCTGTCGATAAACGTGTCACAATGATAAGATCAAGTCACACCAGCCACGGTGGATTGGAGTAGTGTGCATGCCCAACTATAAGATGTTTAAAAAAAAAGCCAAACCAGGAAGGTTCAAAGTGTGAGTCATTTTAAGTTGAAGATTTTCCTGTAATTTCTTTAAAAGATTCCTTGCTGTGAATGGAGAAAACAGACTGAAGCTTTCTTAAGTAATGATGGGGCTTTGAAAACAACTTGTACTCTTGCTGAACATGCGCAATTTAAGACTCTGTCTTTCATGATCTAAAGATGTTTTTATGTACAAAAAAATTCTTTTCTTTGCCAAGTTCTGTTTACAGTGGGTGAGGTAATCGGAAAACTCCAGAAGATTGTTAAAGCAGATTGTCCCGTCATACTTATTTGGGCTTGTGTATTTATTTGGTCACTGCAGTGTACAGCAGAAGTGAAAATGCCAAAACTCTCGAAGAGCCTGAGTTTGAATTGGGTCTAGTTGGTCTCTTAACGGCTCTGTGTCTGGGTTCTGTGTTGTAGGTTTTTGCTGAGCACCCCGGAAGCTCCGCCCAGCTGAGAGTACTGCTGACTTTCTATGCTTCAACCATCGTGTCTGCTTTGGTGGCAGCCGAGAACGTGTCGGACAACGTGGTCGCCAAGCTGTTCCCCTATGTCCAGAAGGTTTGCCGCCTTTGTGTGCAAAGTTTCATACTTAGAGGAAGTTTTCAATTAAGACATAAATGTTTTAAGACAGTGTATGTCATGTGGTTGGTAAAGGTTAATTTTTAAGTAAAAACATAGTCTTTATTTGTTTTAGAAAGTGCACAGAGTAGAATCTTGAATAGAAGTGAAGTTGGCTACGTTGGTCCTGCCCCTGTGCTCCCATGGTGGCCATCTCAGCAGCCACGCTAACCCACTGGGAGGAAGTGCACTAGAAAAGTTATTCCAAGGCATTGTTCTTTTGGCCTCACCTGCTGTTGCATCAATGCTGTTTCTTCCCAACTCCCTTGTTCCCTATCTTTCCGGATTTCCTGCTGAGGACCTGGGTTTTGTTTCCCTCCAGTGCCACTCAGTGTTGTCTTTAACCAGACGGTCCTTCAGCTTTGTTAATGATCTGATGGAAGTCTCCCTTGGAAGAGGAAGTGTAGTCTCTTGGGATCCCTGAGACCCCATTTCTAAGCTAGGTGCCCATCTCATTTCAGTGTCCACTCAGGGACGGGGCAGCACCTTTTAGCTCATTTGGCTGCCAGGCATGCTGTGCTGTATTAAATAGCAACTCAGTGAGAATTTCAGGTTGTCAGTTTAAAACTGAGATTGAATAAAATGTCACTGTTGTGCCAACTCATAGCTGACCCTTCCGCAGGCTTTTCAGGGGCTATGAATTGCACAGGAAGAGATGTTCATCTTTCTCCTGCAAAGCAGCTAGCTGGTGGATTCACACTGAGTGCCTTTCGGATTGCAATATAGTTTCTTACCACTTTTTATCTTCTTTTTATGTTTTAAAAATCCTAGGGGTTGAAGTCATCTTTACCAGATTACAGAGCTGCCACGTACATGATAACATGTCAGATTTCTGTGAAGGTGACAATGGAAGATTCCTTTGTTAACTCCTTGGCATCTCAAATGATCAAGACGTTGACCAGAATCCCTTCTCTGATCAAGGAGGGGCTCAGCTGCTTGATCGTGCTCCTACAAAGACAGAAGCCGGACAGCCTGGGGAAAAAGTAGGTGTTACAAATGGAGAAGGGGGGAGGTTATAGTTAGTGGTGAAATGATTGGGGGGGAAATTTGGAAGTTAAGTGTTAAAGTTAAGTTAAAATTACTGTTCATAAAAGTCAGCCTCATATGTGATTGTTTCTTTGAAGGCCCTTTTTTCACTTGTGTAATGTTCCTGATCTTATTACGATACTTCATGGGATTTCTGAAATGTATGACATCAGTCCTCTTCTGCGGTACATGCTTCCTCACCTGGTAGTCTCCGTCATTCATCAGGTTACAGGTATTTGGTTTGCATCTTGTATCTAAAAGCTTAACTTGTTGGAAATGGAAATCACCCCCTTTTTAGTCCCTAAAAAGAGTTTGGAATATCTGCTATTCACTTTGCTTTGTGTTATGTCCCTGTTCTTGTAAGTGGGAAAATTTGCAGTAGGAATCCGATTTTATCAGGGGATATCCTTGGTAACTGACTCATCTGCCCAGAATTCCATTTTTGGTTGGTTGGATGGTTTTTATTTTGTTTTGTTTTTTTTAAATCATGGATTCATGAACAATTTCTACTTGAAAAATACTATCAATTTTCTTTTTCCCTCTGGACTCTCGATGAGATGGATCGATTCTGTGATTGGGGTGTTGTAATGAGTGTGTTTGAGATGGCGAGGTTGGCACAGGATAGAGCAGCGTTTAGGGTTCTTGTACATAGGGTTGCTATGAGTCGCAAGCGACTCGATGGCACATGACAACAACCACGACAAAAATATATTCCTAAGTAAACATTTTTCTTTGCTGATTTTTCTCCATACAAAAATATCAGACCAAGAAAATCTTAGAGGAGAAGCCTTGTCCCCTCCTCCACAAAAATACCAAAACACTAATTAGCAGTGATAATGCATGCAGTATTTGGTTCTGTTCCTCAGTAAATGTGGAAGAGCTGAAGGAAACACCTCTCCCACGTACTTGGGGAATGCCACAGGAGCCCCTCTAACATGTTGAGTCTTTTGGAGATGAAGCTTTTCTTAACCCAGTGATTCATATTAGAAACGTGACTAGCAAAATGACAGCACCTTCCTTTTGTTGTGTAGATGAGTGTTGTGGTCCCTTCTCTTTGAAGACAGTGTTCATGTTTAAAAATAAATCTGGAATAGAAAATGAGAACTCTCAGCTTCAGGAAAGATGTTCTGAAGTAGAAGTTTGCCTTGTTTTCAGATGGTTTATTGTGATCTGAGTCCTTGTACAGACCTCATCGTGAAATTGTAACCACCCAGGGAAAGAATGGCAATTTTCTAGATTTTTTTTTTTTTTTTTAGTACAGTTGGACAATGACTAGGGAGGATAGAAGGAGAATTGACACTTTTGAGCTGTGGTACTGGAGAAGAGTATTGAATGTACCATGGACTGCCAAGAA